TAATGCATCCTAAGATTGCATTAGCTTTCTTCGCAGCCACATCGCACTGCAGGCTCATGTTTAGCTTGTGATCAACCAGAACACCTAGATCCCTTTCACATGTGCTGCTGTCAATCCCTCCCACTCTATATCTATGGCTTTGATTTTTTGTACCTAAGTGTAGGACTTTGCACTTATCTCTACTGAAATTAATTTTATTTGTCTCAGCCCACTGTTCCAGCCTATCTAGATCATTTTGAATCCTGACTCTGTCTTCTTCAGAGTTAGCAATCCCACCCAGCTTTATGTCATCTGCAAATTTGATAAGCATCCCCTCTTTGTCTTCCTCCAGGTCATTTATAAAAACACTGAAGAACACCGGGCCCAGGACCGAGCCCTGCGGCACTCCACTCGAGACTTCCCTCCACGTAGACGCAGAGCCATTTACGAGCACTTGTTGGGTACGAGTTTTCAACCCACCATGAATCCATCCAACGGTTGCACCATCCAGCCCACACTTAACCTCAAGGATATCATGAGAAACTTTGTCAAATGCTTTACTGAAATCTAGATACACGATATCCACAGCTTTGCCGGAGGCAACCATTTTGGTAACTCTGTCAAAAAAGGAGGTAAGGTTGGTCTGGCATGACTTATTATTCTTGATAAACCCATGCTGGCTACTACCGATTAACTCATCCCGTTCAAGGTGCTCACAGACAGAGCGTTTAATAAGCTGCTCTAGAATTTTCCCAGGTATTGATGTCAAGCTGACAGGCCTGTAATTTCCCGGGTCTGTCTTTTTCCCCTTCTGGAAGATCGGGACGACATTCGCTCTCCTCCAGTCTTCCGGCACAACAGTCTTCGGGTCTCTCCCCAGGAGTCTCTCCCCGAGGTCTCTGCTGTCCTTGCTTTGCACCTCCATGTCAGGAGAGGTCGGGGGGGGGGACCCAGCCTCGCTGAGGAAGTGCTCAGTACTGACGACCCCTGAGAGGGGGAGCAAGGCCCCTGCCACGTGGCCAGCGTGTCTCACTGCAGGACCCAAAGAGGGACCCCCTCTCTGGAGGCTCAGCTCGAACCGTCAGGGAGGCTCCGGGTGCCCCAGCCTCTTCTGTTCCTCTCACGTGAGCTGCCTCCACAAGGCTGGCTCCCGCACCCCAGGCACAGCGCGGGGTCTGCGTGGCGGGGGCGGGGGCTGGCCAGAGAGCCAGGCCCTCCGGGCACCGTGCCCCATATCATGCAATGGGGTGTCGCCCCTGGCCATGGCGCACCCCCCCCAGGCGGGGGACAGAGCACAACTGTGGTTGGGGGGGGACCCTGGGAGCTGCCCCCCAAGCCAGAGAGTCACACCTTGACCCACACAGCTGGGAGGACTCAAGGGACAGCTTCCAAGAAGAGGCCGGGGGAATATTTGTCAGAGAGGCTCCGGGCTGGTCCTGCATTGGACAGGGGGCGGGACTACTGGTGGCCTGTATATGGCCCCTCCCACCTCTGTGTGATTCTGTGATTCTATGATTTCGTGATGCTATGAAACTGCACCCGGGGAGGGGGCTCTCTCCCGTCGGGGGCAGCTCTCTGGATGTGCCCACACCAAGGGCCCGTGAGGCGCGGGGGGGGGGGTCCCGACCTGGAGGTGGAAGGCAAGGGCGAACCCTCTCTGGGCCAAACGAGATGGGGTGTCTGCCCCACCAGGTGTGGTGGTGGTGGTTGGGTGCCGCCATTTTGAAGCGGTCTGAAAATGCGGTGCAGGATGGGATGAGATCTGCCCCCCTGCCCCAGTACGCCCCCCCACCGCGTGGCAATGCTGCACCCCCCCGAGAAGCCAGTGCTGGATCAGGCCAGTGGCCCCTCCAGTCCCACCACTCTGGGTCACACAGTGGCCAAAACCCAGGGGCCATCAGGAGGTCCGCCAGTGGGACACTAAAAGCCCTCCCACTGTGGGCCCCCCCCCAAGGACTAAGAACACAGAGCATCACTGCCCCACGCGTCATGGAAGCCATGTTGGATCAGGCGTTGATGGCCCATCCAGCCACCAGGAGGTCCACCAGTGGGGCCAGAACTCCAGAAGCCCTCCCAACGACACCCCTCCCCTTGCCGCCGGGCGTGTGATCTGGCCTGGAGGGGCCCACCTTGGCCTGACACAGCCGGTTCTTCAAGGCCCTGTGGCCCGAGGGATTTGTCGGAAGAATACGACACCAGACCACACCATCAGGACACAAAAAGACCATGTGTATTGCAAGGCCAATGCTCACAAGCCGAGCCTTCGGACGTCGGGCGCCACAGCCACGGCCGCCTCCTCCTCCCCGGCGGCCCAGCCGCTGCGGCCTTTGGATTCATGGGGCCACCGGCACCGTCTCGAAGGCTTTGACGTCCTGAAATCTGTCGCAGGAGAAATTGACGAGCAGCTGCCTGGTCCCGGCCCTGGTGGGGGTCACGGTGAACTGGAGGGTGGCCACCTGCTTGGCCCCCAGCGGAGGGGCTCTGTGGAGGAAGAGCAGAAGCAGGAGGCCTGGTGAGACCCCCTCTGGCGGAGGGGAGGAGCCACCTGCCCCCCTGGGGCCCACCCTGCCCTGGCCGCCCTCTCAGCCCACCCTGCGGGGCAGTCACAGAGGGGTCGCCACAGAACCGGAGCAGTCTGGGGGACCCCCCCCTCTCTGAAGAAGAAGTGACTCCCGGGATGTCGTCAGTCCTTGAGGTGCTCCTGGACCCCAGCCCTCTCCCACCACTGCCGCGGCCCCTCCTCCTGACGCCAAGACAGGCGAGCTCCGACACTCCCCGTGTGTGGAGGGCCCACCGCTCTGGGGTGGCACGCGGGCTGGCCACGCAGGGAAGCTGCGGGGCTGGGAAAGGCCTCGGCCGGGAGGACCCGCGGGCGGGTGTCGTCTGCAGTCCCAGAGGCTGAGAAGGGCCGAGGTGGGGCTCCTCTGGCCAGACACACATGCCCGCATCTCTCTTGCCTCCCGTGGCACTCCTCCCCTCACCCAACAGGGCCAGGCCGCCGGGCTGAGTGGCGAGCGGGGCAGCTCTGCTTATCCCTGGCGAGGGTTGCAGGGGTGTTGTGATGACAGATGCGGGGGGGGCCCTCCCCCGGTGTGCCAATCCTGAGCTCACTGGGAATGGAGCTCAACAGGAATTGTACGAAGGGCTGGGGGGGGGTGGTGGCGGCGATGCAGAGGCTCAAGGGGTGCCCTAGGGCTGGCCTGGCACGTATTCGGGGTCTTCCCAGGTCCCCTGGCTGAGCCCAAGCAATCACGGCCCTTGGCCATCCATGTGCTGCCTCCCCCCCTCCCCCCCTGGATGAAGCAGCGGGGGTGGGGGGGCAGCTTCACGGGGCTGGCAGACCCCGGCTGGGGAGTGACTTCCGGTGGGACCAGCTTCCTCCTCTCTCGCCCTTGCCGAAAATGAAGGCTGCTTATCTGGCCTTTTACGGTCTTCTCTCTGCAGGGCCTGGAGGCTCCCAGCAGGAGGGGACCCCCTGCCCCTCGAGGCCCCCCCCCCGCCCCTCTCCAGGAGGTCACGTGTTCTGAACGGAAAGGGGCGGGGAGTGAACACGATGCCCTTGTGGAGAGACCATCTGGGTAGGGAGAGAGGGAGAAAGAGCGAGACGCAGGAAGGGGGCTGGGGTCTCCTCCAGAGCTGCAGGTGCAGGAGAGGAGGTGGGTGACAGCGACCGGTGTCCCAAGGATAACGGGAGGCCCCCAACCACTCCGAGGTCCCTCACAAAGCCCCACTCCGCATCGAATGTCTAAAAAATCCCTGTCAGGCGATACGGAGAACTTTCTCTTTCAGAAGGTGGCCGAAGATGGACGGAGGGGGCTGGTTGCTCCTGACACGTCCCTCGTTGCTAGGGAAGACTTGGCTGATGGGGTGGAAGCGCTCCGTGGGAACCGGGTAGGAAAGTGAGGATATCCATGCCCGAATTCTTCCTTGAGCAACGGACAAGCTGACCGTAAGACACTCTGAGAAGGGTTAGGTGGCCAGGTAATCTCTCAGGGAAAGGAGCTCCAGGTGAGTTGGAGCCATCGCAAGCTGTCCCAACAGCAAAGAAACACAGGAGGCCTCTAGAGAAGCCCGCGTGTCCCTGTGAAACGCTGAGGGACGAGCTGGAAACCAGGACGGGCACCCGTGGGAAACCGACGATGGAGGAGCTGGTCCCTGGGGAAGCCCGAAGGCTAGTCACAGCAGGGCCCTGGAGATGGGAAGCGAGGGACGCTCGGGAGCATGGGATGTGTGAGCCCGCCACACCCACCTAGCATTCCCCCCACCCCCGTCTCCTGCCAGCAACCACCCTGCCCCACCCCCACGAGGAACTCTCCGGTTCAAAACGTCAGCCATTGTTATAGCGTTATAATAATGTTATAGCAGTCGATCAGGTTCTCCCGTTTTCATTCCAAAAAGTAACTTTATCAAGAGTAAATTCTACCCAATCCGCCTCCCCCCCCCCTTTATACTGTGCTGAGTGAGCGGTGGGGATGCTGTGTGGCGTAGTGTGTGTCTCGTTTTCAGCACAGCCCGTCAGGCACTTACCCATCTCCAGTTATTTATTTGTGTGTTTGTTTGTTTAGATTTGTACCCCACCCTCTCTGCCACGGCAGGGTCGGTTTGCGCAGGGAATGGCGCTGAACCCACGCCAGGCCCCGGCAAGCGTCCACGTGATCTGCTGCATCAGGCAGGCTTGTTGGGTCTGGTCCAGCGGAGCGCTTCGGACCTTCTTGTGTGTGCCCGTGTGTGCCTGTGTGCGCTTGTGAAGTCCTCTGATGTTGTTAACTATCCTACCCACCCACCCAGCCACGTGGCCAAAAACAAGGTAATACCTTGTCCAAATTTCGTCTGTGCAGCTGAGAACGGCCTGCCTGTGCCTTCCCTCCCCCAGGCTATGCCCTGCGCCCACGGGGCGGCGCTAACCATGCCAGGCGTGGGGCTCTACTGGGGCACCCGGAGGACGAGGGGCTCTACTTGAGCAGAGGTGTGATGGAGGAAGGGCACCCAAGAGGCCGCAGGCAAGCGCAGCCATTCCTCTGCCAGCTTAAGGGTGGAGGGCACCGTTCCTGGGTGTTCGCAGCAGCAGCAGCCGCAGCCGCAGCCGCAGACCCTCGAGCGGGCCTGACTGGCTGGGACCGGCGGGGGTCAGGAACCCTCCTCTCCTCTCCTCCCTGGATCACCTCTCCTCAGGCAGACACACCTCTGGTAAAGGGAAGGAGGCTACAGGGCGGCTGTTCTGGCCACTGCTGGCCCCTCCGCCAAGGACTCTGCCAGGGGAAGGGGAGCCGGGCCTGCCTGGCAGACGCGTGTGGTGACCGCGTCGGGTGTCCCTGCCCGGACTGGCTTTGTGAGCTAGGGAAGGGCAGTCGAGGTCCCCGGGAAGGCGCCAAAGAAGCAAGAGCCGCCTTCTTCAAGCACAGCCCCCCTCTGTAGTGTATTCAGATGCTGCCCTGAATGCATGAGGATGAACGTAGAATCATCCCATAGAGAAGCTATGCTAAGCTTCAGACGTCGGCAAGGATTCGCGCCGAAAGTATTGTGTCCAATCACATTTGAACTGTCTGTAGTGGGAATGCTTATGATTGGGCTGTTATGCGAACAACCTGATAGGTTGATAATTGTATAGTAGGTGTGGCTACATTAGCCCGGAATGTTTAAATACCGAACAGCAACAATGAAAGCTGGTTCGGGCTATCAGAGAAGTTGTACCGTGTCAGAGAAGTTGATTGTCGAGCTGAATAAACCTGAGTTTTGCTGAAATCACTCTCTGGCTATTTTGTTAAGCACGGACTTAACACCCTCCCCTCCCCTCCCGTAGTCATGGAGCCCCCGTGCCCCGCTAGGGTTACCAACTTCCAGCTGGTGACTGGAGATCTCCCGGATCTACAGCTCATCTCCAGACGGCAGGGATCAGTTCCCCAGGGGGGACGGCTGGTCATGTGGAGGGTGCGGAGTGTGCGGCATCACAAACCCCGCTGAGACCCATCGCCTCCCCAGACCCCAGGTCCCACCCAGGTCCCACCCCTAAAACCTCCCGGGGCTCCCCACCCCACCCCCGCACCCTGCCCAAAGGCCCAAGAGCCCCGGTACTCACTCCAGCCGGATCTTTTTCGCCAGCAAGTCGCTGCCCTCCGCCAGCAGCACGCAGCCCTTGACCTCCTGGGCGAGAGGGTTCGTGAACAGCACCTCCACCGGCACCGGCTGGTTCACCTTTGCCTGGCCCAGCACCTGCCCCAAGGCGGAAAGAGGCCCTCTCTCACCACCGCTCAGGCACACCAGGGCCCTTCCGGGCACCCCCCTGAGGGCCAGGCTGGTCCCCCCCCAAAAAAGCCTCTTCCTTCGCCCCCCCCTCCGCTGCCAGGGCCCGGCCCTCTCGTCCTCGGAGATCCTTCCTGCAAGGAAGCAGCTGCCAGGGTGGGGCACAGGGTGGCAGCGGGCCAGAAAACTCACTGGGCCCTAAGGCCAGCCAGCCCCTTTGCTCCACCATGGCTTTTGTGGGGCATGCATGGAAAACGTGCCCCGACATCTGCCGCTGGGTGCCCACCACTTCCTGCCAGGAGGGGTCTCGCTGCCACCTCGTTTGCCTGCTGGCACGGGCTTTGGAAAGAGGTTCCCCCCACCCCCAGGTGTTTCCCCTTTCCCCCCACAAAATGCCCCCCAGGCTTCCTGCCAGCATTCCCTCTCCCCCCCCCGCCTGTCCCGAGGAGGAGGGTGCTGGGTGTGGGGTGTGGGGCACCGACCCTGATGGTGAGGCCGGGGTTGTCCAGGGTGACCACGCGCTCCACCAGGGCCTCCCCCTCCTTCGCCACGTGGCACAGGGCCGTGGTGTGGATCATGTTGTCCGTTGTCAGGTGCTGCTGGTACTCCGCGTAGGAGATGTTGATCGGGACGGTTTTCTCTAGAGACAAATACCGGGAGAGTAAAGGGAGAGGCCCCCAAAGCCGAGGAGCAAAAGTCCGTCTCACACCCTCTTGGGGGGGGGGGGGGACGACTGATTTTGGATCCAGTGTCTCTACGCTGCTGCCTTTCACTGATCTAGGGCGTGATGGGTTTTTATCCTTTCTTTTCAAATGGCATAGTGTCTTAGTTGCCTGCTTTTATTATTTTTTTTAATTTGATGGTAAGCTGATTTGGGGGCACCTGGCTAAAAAACTGAAGTAAAGACATCTTAATAAATCAATATTTTAATAAATTATGTTTATTATTATTCAGTAAATTTATGGCAGGAGGGGGATTCGAACCTGGGTTCGAGAGAGAGAGATCTGGAACCAGGAAACTCTCAGGCAGGAGGCCTCCACAGATGGGGGGGGGGAGAAGGAGGGGGAGGAGGAGACAACTGGATTTATACCCCGCCCTTCACTACCCGAAGGCACAAACTCCTTTCCCTTCCCCTCCCCACAACAGACACCCTGTGAGGTAGGTGGGGCTGAGAGAGCTCTTGACAGAAACGGCTCTTTTTCAAGAACTACTCTTGTCAGAGCTACGGCTTGCCCAAGGTCATCCAGCCAGTGGAGGAGGAGTGGGGAATCAAACCCCGCCTTTCACTACCCAAAGGTGTCTCAGAGCGGCTCACAAACTCCTTTCCCTTCCCCTCCCCACAACAGACAAACACCCTATGAGGTAGGTGGGGCTGAGAGAGCTCTGGCAGAAGCGCCTCTTTTTCAAGGACAGCTGTGCCAGAGCTTGTGACTGACCCAAGGTCATCCAGCCAGGTGCAAGTGGAGGAGTGGGGGAATCAAACCCGGTTCTCCCAGGTTAGAGTCTGTGCATTTAACCACTGCACCAAATTGGCTCTCTGGAGGAAGAAGAAGAGGAGGAGGAAGGAGGAGGAGGAGATTGGATTCCTACCCCGCCTTTCACTACCCAAAGGTGTCTCAGAGCAGCTTACAATCTCCTTCCCCTTCCCCTCCCCACAACAGACAGACACCCTGGGACGTAGGTGGGGCTGAGAGAGCTCTGACAGAAACTGCCCTTGAGAGAACAGCTCTGACAGAACTACGGCTTGCCCAAGGTCATCCAGCCAGGTGCAAGTGGTGGAGTGGGGGAATCAAACCCGGTTCTCCCAGATTAGAGTCCGTGCACCTAGCCACTACACCAAACAGGGAGAGGGTAAATGGATCCCCTTTTAGGGAAACAAATAGACAGGAGAGTGATAACCATTTGCCCACCTGTTAGGCACACAATTCACCAGGCAGCTCCAGCGGGCTGCAGAGCATCTTCCCTTCCATCATACCCCAGTGTTTGGTGAAACCACTCCTGAGGGTGGCCGGTTTCCTGTCCTTGCAATGCGGGGAGGGGGGGCTGTTGTTCTTGCTCTGAAAACCGTGGCCCCTCCCTCCGCAAAAGTGGGCGCTCCAGCAGCCATCCCCTCGCCTGCCCGCCCCGTCGGGAAGGGTGGCGCCAGGGGCCGAGCCCCGCCCGGAAGGTCACCCACCTTCTTTGGGGCCCAGGGTCATGGACTGGGTGTTCTTCCAGACCTCGTGGACTGGCTTCCCCGTGTAGACGATGGTCCACGCGGCCATGTGTGTCTCCACTGTCCTTGGCTCGGAGGCGTGGTTGGTGAGCGTCAGAGCCAAGCAGACGTCTTTGCCCACCTCCGGGGTGCGCTCCAACGTGAACTTCCCCGAAACGTTGGGGATCAGATCGGCCGCTGTGGGCATCATCCTGTTCAGGTTCAGCTTTTCACGAGCTTTCTCAAAGACCGTCCTTTCTTTGGCAGAGCCTGCAAGAGAGAGCGCAGGGCTCGCACACCAGCAGCCCCGTGGGGCCGGCCACGGTGGCTGGTGGAGTGGGGCAGGACACGACTTCCCGGGCTGACGCTCATCCACCTCCACGGGGCTGGCGGTGAATCGGCATGCCGGGGGGGGCCTCCGGCTCTCAGCCTCTACAGAGGCCGTCTTAGGAAGGGGGGAGGAGAGTCGGAGGAGGAGGAAGAAGAGGAGGAGGAGGAGGAGACTGGATTTGTACCCCACCCTTCACCCAGCATCTCAGAGCAGCTTAGAGTCTTGTTCCCTGGGCTGAGAGAGCCCTTTTGAGAACTGCCTTTTAGTGAACAGCTCTGAGAGAACTGTGACTGACCCAAGGTCACCCAGCTGGCTGCAAGTGGGGAATCAAACCCAGTTCTTCAGAGTAGAGTCTGACGCTCTTAACCATCCCGCCAGGAGGTGCAGCCCTGGTCCCAAGCACGGCACCTCGAGGGGCCAAATGCCCAGCGGAAAAAGCTTTCGCAAGGAGGCCAGAGGCACCTCCACCTGTCTGAGGAGGAGGCGGCCTCCCTCGCCTTGCCTTACCTTCTGTGTATTTGTAATTGCCAGTGACGTCCTCACGGGCATAGCTGCCCACAGCCTTCGTGCTTGTGAACTGGCCGATTGACTTGGTCTCCGTGTAAAGCCTCTTGGCTTCTGTTGTGGACGTGTCGTACGTCCAGGTGACGCGGTCCGCATTGACCTCGGCAAAGACGAAGGGGCTGTCGAACCGCAGGTCCACGTCTCCCTCTTTGATGGCTGTCAGAGAAGCCGGACCGCACTGGAACAGGCCTGCAGGGTTCAGGAGAGGGGGGCGGTGGTGGGCAGGGAACCGGAGGTGGTGTGTGTGTGTGTGTGTGTGTGTGTGTGAATGAGGGCTGCAGGCAATGGGAAGGGCGTCCCCTTGTCATGATGCGCGGTGAGTGCCTGGGGGGTGCCTGGGGGCCACAAACCCAAGCTCCGAAGGCTGTGGACGGGACGAGGCCCATTCAGGGAGGCAAGCTGGGGGCTCTGCAGCAGCAGCAGCAGCAGGAAGGAGAAGAAGAAGAGACTGGATTTATACCCTCCCGCCCTTCCCTACCTGGAGGGAGTCTCAGAGCAGCTGACTAACTCCTTTTCCCTCCCCACAACAGACACCCTGTGAGGCAGGTGGGGCTGAGAGAGCTCTGACAGAAACTGCTCTTTTTCAAGGACAGCTCTTGCCAGAACTGTGGCTTGCTCAAGGTCATCCAGCCAGGTGCAAGTGGAGGTGGAGTGGGGAATCCAACCCGGCTCTCCCAGATTAGAGTCCTCTGCGCACTTAACCACTGCACCAGACTGGCTCTCAGGGAGGCTTTGGCCTGAGATTCTGTGCCAGTGGGCCTTCCAGGGCCCCTGGGGACTCTCCAGAAGGGTCCTCCTTGGGTTGATCCAGCAGAGCTCTTCTCGTGTTCTTCCGAGAAGGGAGAGGAGACGTGGTGGCCAGGGCCATAAGGGATGAATCAGCACAAAAAGACCTGAGCGGGAAGGTCAAAAGCCCCCATGTACTGTGCTGCCAGAGAAGGTGCAGCCAGGCAAGGGCTGCAGGGAAACCTGACCCACCCCTCCCCCATGCACACAGGCCACTCCTGAGGTCACGTCTACCGCTGGGCACGTGATGCGTGCAGCCAGGGGGGCCAAGGAAAGGGCAAGCAGCCTCTTGGCGGCAAGGCAGGTGGGAATGCTGGCGATGCCTAGCGGACAGCGAAGGGTATTTCTACCGCATGGGTGGGACCCACGGCCAGGAGCTGAACAGAGCAAAACGCAAAGCCGCTTCCTCGCACCTGCACTTCTCTCCTGCGGAGTCGCGTCTAAGATCTGCCACCCGTTGTAGGCAGGGCCAATGTCACGTCGAACAAACCAGCTCTCGTTCCACACGTGGAAGTTCCTGCAAGCAAGAATGAGCCGGTGAGTCCAGAAGGCCCTTTTGAAGGCGCAGCACGTCAAGTCACCGGCAAGTTTAATTGCCAAAGGAGATCAGCTCCCAAAGAAACCAGGCGTGCCCTAGAAAGAAAGAAAGAAAGAAAGAAAGAAAGAAAGAAAGAAAGAAAGAAAGAAAGAAAGAAAGAAAGAAAGAAAGAAAGAAAGAAAGAAAGAAAGAAAGAAGCACCACAGCAACAGGAGAGGGGGAGGAGGGGAGGGGAGGAGTCGCCCCCCCAAGTACTCCACCACGACCCCCACGACCCCATTGCAGCATCTCCTCTGCGGCCACCTTGAGCCCTCAGGCCATTTCAGCTACATGCCTTGTGACAGGCGAGATCCAGGAAGGTCTCCCTTCTTCGTATCTGACAAAGGGAGGGTGGACCCTTCGGAGCTGAGAAACCCCCGACAAATCTGGCCAGTCTCTCGGGTGCTCCCAGACTCACATCCAGCTCTTCTACTGCTGCCCTCTGGAGCCCTTCCTTTGAGGGGGGGGACTCCCTTCCTTGCCACGCCCCCCTCACCCCTGCACTGTATTCTTGCTGCTTAAGGGGGGGGCAACAGTGGGAGGGCTTCTGGTGTCCTGGCCCCACTGCTGGACCTCCTGATGGCACCTGGTATTTCTGGCCCAGAGTGTTGGACTGGATGGGCCATTGGCCTGATCCAGCGTTGGCTTCTCTTACGTTCTCTTGTGTTCTTACCTTCTGACTGGGACATAAACAGGCTCAGGGACCTCCAGTCTGACTTGGATCCAACAAAGGGGTCTTTGACCCTCCAAAGCGCCTACCCGGAAATGCTCGTTGGCTTCTACGGTACTACTGGACCTGAGACTCTAGGGATCCAAGAAGACCCCCTCCCACCCAAAGGGAGTGCTTGCAAGATGAGTCCGGGGCCTGAAGTCCAGGAAGGTTAAACTGGGCAAATGTGTGTTTGAGTCGTGCCGTGGAAGGGAGGTTCCTGGACATCGCAAGTGGCCGCACACCAGAACAGCCGGTCACAGAGCCAGCCGCAGGGATAGTGATCTTGGTTCCAAGCAGGGTTCAAGATCTGCTTTAGAGATGGAGAGGTTGTTGCACCCTTTGGGAACAGTGACCACAACTGCTATTTAGTTCAGCGTTCGGGTCAATGGAAAGTTACCCCTACAGTCCAAAACTGTAACATTCAATTTCAAAAGAAGGAACTTGGCAAAAAATGAGGGGAATAGTTGAAAGGAAGCTGAAAGGGAAACCCCAGAGAGTCAGATCGCTAGAGGATGCTTGCTTGGCAGCTATTTAAAACCATGCTAACTGGAGCCCCAAGAGGGTGCTTTCCAGAAGTCTGAAAGGCGGCCTGTGTGGCTAACAACACAAGTCAAGGAAGCTACAAAGAGGCTTCTTTCAAAAAGTGGAAGGCCTGCCCAACGAAGTGGACAGAAGGGAGCGCAGGCTTTGGAAAAGGAAGTGTAAGTTCATAAGTAGGCATGCAAAAAGAGACTCTGAGGAGCACATTTCTTTAAGTACATCCAATATTGGGGCTGGTGCTATTTAATTTGTTCATAAATGATCCGGAACCAAGTGTGAGAAGTGCAGAAGAAGAGTTGGTTTTTATACCCTGCCTTTCTACTACCCCAAAGGAGTCTCAAAGTGGCTTACAATTGCCTTGACCGTTCCTCTCCCCACAACAGACACCCCCTGTGAGGCGGGTGGGGACTGAGAGAGCTGCCTGCGACTGACCCAAGGACACCCAGCCGGCTTCACGGGGAGGGGGAGGAGGAGGAGTGGGGAATCAAACCTGGTCCTCTGGATTAGAGTCTGCCTCTCTTTACCACTGCACCACACTGGCTCTCAAATGGCCAAGTTTGCGGATGGCCCAAAATTATTCAGGATGATGAAAACCAAGGTTGACTGTGAAGAGCATCTCCAAAAACTGGATGTGTGGGCGGCAGTGTGGCAAATGAAGTGCAAAGAGCAAAACGTCAGATGATGATCAACAGAGGCAGAACATCCAGATCTCAAGGTGCCACAGTCCCCGCTGTACACCGCACGGCTCAGGCCGCACCTGGAGTATCGCCTGCAGTTCTGGAGGCCTCACTTCAGAAAGGGATGTGGGCAGAACGGAGCGGGTGCAGAGGAGGGCGATGAGGATGACCGGGCGGGGGGGGGGGGGGAGACCCAGAAGCCCCGCGAGGAAAAGGGCCGAGGGGCTTCTTGGGAAGGTTCAGTCTGGAGAAGAGGAGGGGTTTTTTGGGGGGGGGGGCAGAATTGCTGTCTTTTAATGGCTGTCACTTAGAGGAAGGTAAGGGGCTGTTCCTTTTGGCAGCAGAGGAGAGGACTCGCAATAAGGGGTTTGAATGATGGGCAGGAAGATTCCGGCTGGATAGGAGGAACCTTTTTCTCTTTTTTTTTAACAGTAAGAGCAGTTCAGCAGTGGGGATGGGCTCTGCCTGGGGAGGCGGTGCACACTGGAATGGGCTGCCTGGCCGTCTTCAAGCATAGTGGCTCTGGACGAACGCCTGTCAGGGACGCTCCAGGCCAGGGGTGGCCAGACTGCGGCTCTTCCACACATCCTGCGCGGCTCCCAGCAGGGCGGCAGCGAAGGGGAGGCAAGTGCCTCCCTGGCTCCTCTTCCCTCCCCCAGCCAGCGCTCCTCTCCCTGGGAGGGCTTATGGGGTGTGGGTGGGCCGGGAGCAGAGAAAGAAAACTCACTCTAAATGCATTCTCAAAGGCCCCCCCCCCATCCTGGAGAAAGCATCTGTCTCTTTAAATGTCATCAGCACCATCTGTTTCCCCCCCTTTTGTTTTTATTTCTGGCAGCCTTATTTGAGGTTAATGGTAATAAAAACCAACCTGCATGTTTTCCAATTAAAACGTGTGTGTGTGTGTGTGTGTGTGATATCTGTTCTTGCCTTGCGGCTCTCAGGCGTCTGATGTTTCCTCTGTGTGGCTCTTAACGTTGGGCACGTTTGGCCCCCCCCTGCTGGAGGCCGGTCCTGCACCGATCAGGAGGTTGGACGGGATGACCCGTGTGGCCCCTCTGCCAGCTCTACGATTGATTCCATGATCCCCACTGGATCCCCACACAGTCCCAAGTCCAGGCACAGGCTGAGGGGGGTCTGGACGGGGTGAGCCTGTTCTCCCACCCCAATCGTTTTGAAGGCGAGTGGAGCCACGCGTTAAACTCATCTATCAGGCCTCTATTTGCACAGTGAGTGATTAAAATGAGGAATTCGCTGCCAGAGGATGCAGGGATGGCCACAGGCACAGATGACTTTTTAAAAAGGGGGACTGGACAGATGCACGGAGGACTGAGGTCCATCAGTGGCAACTAAAGGGAACCTCCATATCCAGAGGCAGTCAGCCTCTGAATACCAATAGTCAAAGGCGGCAGCAGGGGAGAACCTTGGCCCCCGTGCCCCGTTTGCCTGGCCTGCCCAGAGGAACGGGTTGGTGAATCCATGAGACAGGGTGCCGGGCCAGACTGCCTCAAGGGAAGGGCCACTGGTGGCAGAAAAGAGTGAAAAAGAAGTCGAGACCTCAGCAATCGGGGAGAGACTTCTGCAGCTAAGTGGAACAGCACAGTGTTGCAAGGCAGCGGGTTGCTGTTCTATCCTTGATTCTCTTCCCCATCTCATGGAATGCTCCTGTCCTTCCCTCGTGCAAGATCACCCAAAGACAACAGAATGAAAGAAAAGGAAATAAGAGATGCAAAATGGGGCAAGACCAGGGGAGCTTTATCATGGGCCCCCTCTCAAGCAGCATCCCCATAAGAACATCAGAGAACACAAGAGAAGCCAACTTTGGATCAGGCCAGTGGCCCCTCCAGTCCAACACTCTGTGCCCCAAAATACCAGGTGCTATCAGGAGGTCCAGCAGTGGGGCCAGGACACTAGAAGCCCTCCCACTGTTGCCCCCCTCCCAAGCACCAAGGATACAGAGCATCACTTGCTCCAGACTGAGAGTTCCTATCTATACCTTGTGGCTGTAGCTCCTGATGGACCTCTGCTCCATATGCTTATCCAATTCCCTCTTATAAGAACACAAGAGAATCCAGTGTTGGATCAGGCCAGTGGCCCATTCAGTCCAACACTCTGTCACACAGTGGCCAAAAATACCATGTGCCATCAGGGGGGCCAGCAGTGGGGCCAGGACACCAGAAGCCCTCCCACTGTTGCCCCCCCCCAAGCACCAAGAAGACAGAGCTTCCCTTGCCCCAGACCGAGAGTTCCTATCTGTACCTTGTGGCTAAGAGCCACCGATGGACCCCCCCAAGGAACCAAGAATACAGAGCATCACTGCCCCAGACATAAGAACATAAGAGACGCCAGTGTTGGATCAAGCCAGTGGCCCATCCAGTCCAACACTCTGAGTCACACAGTGGCCAACAGTACCAGGGGCCATCAGGAGGTCCCACCAATGGGGCCAGGACACTAGGAGCCCATGGTGTATGCACAGTCAGTGTGCCAGCTCCAGCACTGACTGGAGGACAAAAGCATTTGTTCCCACAGAGAGGCACATCTTGTGTCCCCGCAAACGAGCCTTTGCCCCTATGGACCCGTAGCAGAGTCCCAGAGAGCATGGTCCCATGATGCACCTAAATAAATCACGTGTTGGTCACTTGCATTCACTACATTTTTTCCAAGTGCACAAAAAAATTACTGGACAAAGGAAGCCGCCCCCCCCCCCAACCCCAGCTGTGGTGGATTTCTGGGGACAGGTGGCCTCAGGAGCTGAAGGGCCATCGCTCACACGGGAAGGGAGATGTGGAGACACGGAGCAAGAAGGGTCATGCAGGGCTGCTGAGGCGGGTACTCAAGGAACAAACATCTGGGGGTCCAGGTGCCCAGCTAGAGGGCCACTGACGCCAGCTCATGCGGCACCCACGAAACGCATTTACTCTTTTAGCAAATGCAGTACCGCACTGCAGCCACTGGGGGCAGGAGGAGGGCTCTGCCTTTCTGCAGCCTTTGCGAGGAGGCCGAGGGGAACCCTAAGAGTTGCTTCTCAGATGCGGCTAAACTCGTCACCAACCAAGCCAGCACTCAAGCAAGGCAAGACCAGCCAGGACAAGCTACAGCCATGGCCAGGATGACGCCTCCTAACGAGGTGGTCGTTCTCTCTAGCAGTTTATGGTTTCCCTCTCCCGTTAGCGTCACCCAGCTCCATAGTTTTGTTTCCACAGCCAGAGCTTGTAAAGGGGAACCCTGTCGGTGTGTGGTAGCAGGAAACAAAACAAAAAACCTTCCTTGTCCTTTCCTTATTTTCTCTCTTTTCAGTACTTTTCACCGCCTTCTTTATGCTTTCTTCCTTTCATGATCTGCCTTTTCTCTATTCCCACTTCTAATTTTTCTCTCAACCCCCCCCCCCATCTTATTTTCAGTCTTGGTCTCAAGCAGGGGTCATTTCGTAGAAAAAGAGGTGCAGGAGCTCATTAGCATAACTCATTTGCATATGCCACACCCCCTGACATCACCGGAAGTGTGTCAGAAGGCAACACCCACCGCTCAGGCTCCACTGGACTGTTTTGGATTGCTAGCTATTGGGGGCGGGGCGCAGATCTGTCCTCGCAGAGGAGGGAGAGCTTGTACCTGAATAAAACTTGGTCTTAAAGGTGCCACTGGACTGTTTTGGACTGGGGGCCCTGGAGGGGGCTCTGCAGCTTACCTGGCTGCTTCTTGCTTTGACCGAGAGCTGCTGGGAGCAGGGGGTGGGGCTTGTTGCATGTGCCCGCCCCCTGGACTCTTTACTGCTGGAGCGCAGCTTAGAACATACTTAATGGTGGGCATGGTTGAAAGCCTTTGTTAATCTTATGAATTAATATTATGAACAGAAGCGGTTAATATTTCCCCATCATCTATCAAAGCACTAAAAGGCTGCTTCCCCTTGGTGCTAAAAAGAGGAACACAAGTCAGAATTTAGCTCAGCTTCCATTGCAAATAGCATTGGGGTGGGGGGTGGGGTGGGGTGGGGAGACAACCTGGGCCAGGATATTCTGATTTCTTTCATTCCGGGCCCGGAAACTCCCAGGGGCATCTTGTTTTGAGATCCCTCGTTTTATTTTCTGCTGAGTTAATGCCTGCCACACACGGACAGACAGGCGAGAGGGTCGCCACTTGCCTGGCGGGGGTGGGGGGGGTGGGGGGATCCCGATTTTGTGGCCTTCTGCTTGCCACCGGCCAGCTGGCCAGTGGGAGGGAATCCCACCAAAGAGCGGCACGTGGCACGTGCTGGGCCCCTGCACAGAAGCCCAGTGGCTCCCAGAACCACCTAGAAGAAGACGAACTACCAGATGCTGTCTGCTCCCAGGTTCAGAGGGTTCCCAGAGGAATCGTAGTAGACATCCACGGTGAGGCTTCTGTCTGTGTCGTGGGCAGAGTTGAAGTTTGTGATCATGCGTGTGGGGATTCCCAGGCACCGGAGGACTAGGAGAGGGGGAGAGAGAGAGAGAGAGAGAGAAGGTCTTGGGGCCGGCCCTCCCTTGGTGGGATCCTCCCCCCCGTGGCCCGCAGGTCTCCCCTGGGCGGAAGCCGGAGGTTGCAGCAACCCCACCCCTGCCAGGGCCCCGTGGCTTAGGGCGAGAGCCGAGGTGCTGCGTGCAGAACAGGAGCCACGCCTGGGAAAGACCTCCCCCACCCCGAGACCCTGCTGAGCTGCTGGCTGCCAGAGGAGACCCGGCCCGTCGTGATGGGCCAAGACAAAGCCTTGGCCGGGCTTGGCAGAAGGCCAGTCTGTCCACCCGCAGTGATACAGGAGCCCCTGCTGAGGGCGGGCCGGGGGGGCTTGGGAGCCAGGCAGGGTGGGGGGGGGGTGCCGCCTCCCATCCAAGAGCCGTCACTGTGTGGGAGAGGAAAGGGGCTCGCTGCAACCCCCCCGCCCCCACCCCCCATGCTGCCTCCTCTCCCTCAGCCCCCCCTGCCCCCTTCAGGAGGTGCCCTGGGGGGGGGAGGGGTGCGTGCCTGTCTGTCTGTCTGTCTGTGTGCAGGGGAAGACTTCGGCCCTGCCTCCGGGCCATTAAAAGACCACCGCACGGGATGAGAACCACACGTCCTCACAAACAGTAAATACAGCAGAGTCAAGGGAATCGCAAGAGCCAGAAAACGGCCAAGCCAGGGGTCAGTGGGCCGAATCACCCCAGGAGGCAGCCCCGAGGGCCCTTTGCACATGCTCAGGAGGAGGAGGCCACGTGAGGCAGAGGGGCCCTGGCGCGACACCTTCCCCGACCCGGCCTTCTGCCGCCAGCGCCCAGCCAACGCTTCCCTCCCCCGGCACAGGCACAGGCGGCGGAGGGGCCCCGGCGTCCCCACACCACCCCGGGGCGAAGGAGGCTCACCGGTGGTCAGCACGCCGGCAAAGACCCAGCACTGCCCGTACTTGACCGCCTTGTAGCCGGAGGCCTTCCACTGCCGGAGGATGTCCACGCTCCCGGTCCAGCTGCTGGGGTTCTGCCCCCCGCGGTAGTTCCCGCTCCAGTTCCCCTGCAGCACTCCGCTGTCGTCATTGCTGTTGACCTGGGGAAAGGCAAGGCGGCCAGGCCTCCCCTCAGGCCACCGTCTCCCGGCCACGCCCCCTGCTGTCACCGCCCCCCTCCTGCTCCTCTGCCACCCTGGCGGGGGGGTGTTCCCTCTACCCGCCCACGCCGGGTGGGGCCCCCAGAGCCACCAGCCCTCTCCTCCCCGGCCTGTCGGGCTTCCTCCCTTTCCTGCCCCGCTCCCAGCCTTTCCCAGCCCCTGACTCCGCCCACCTCCCTGGCCCCACCCCCAGAATTAAGCCCCGGTGCTCAGGGGCCGGGCGGGGCACTACGAGGGGCTCCCTCCACTGCTGTGCAGACCCTCGACGATTAGGGGGGGAAGTCCTGGCTGGGGCTCTCCCCAGCTGCCGCCTGGAGCCCCCCCTCCCCCCTCCGGGGCACATTTCCTCAACCGCAGCTTCCCCTGAGGGACCTCGCCCAGGGGTCCTCAGGGAGCATGTATCCCCCCCCGCCCTGTGACTGCGCCACGGAGCCTCCATTGGCCTCCCTCTGGCCCGTGGCTGGATGTGGAAGCCGTCTCAGGGAGATCCGGCTCCGGTGGGGAAGGGACTGGACCGACCGCCACTCGGGCCCTGTGCCCCTATCGGGAGGTTGATCCACGTGGAGGACGGGAGCCTGGCTGTGTCTCTGGAGCGGGGCGCGCCGTGGGGCATGGACAACGCAGGCACTTGCAGACAGGCGGCATCCAAAGAGGGAGGATCCCCCCCGCCCCTCCCCGCCCCTCCCCGGCAGTCTCTTACCATGGCACTCAGCACGCGGCCCACGTGCTTGGGGTCATTCCGGTGAGTCATGTCTCTGTTGGCGTCCTGTATGAAGCTTCTGCTCCGGTCCAGGAGGGTCAGGCAGATATTCAAGATGTCATCTTGAAACTGGTTATGGAGGAAGACATGAGCAACCTGACCTGTCCTGCCATTTGCAACCTAACCTGCAAATTCTCGGCCTAGGTCGAGAAAGGAGTGCCAGTGTGTCCGTCCCAGTCCCCCCCCCCCCCCGCCCTGCACGAAATGGGGTTGAA